AAATTATACCACTTTTATGAGGTTTTTTCAATGTTTTTGATTTTTAGTAACATTGTTGGACACTGTACGGAAATGTTGTTTAATACTTTTTTGTAGGTACCTATGAGCTCCACTTCAGAAATAAATTTCATTGAAATCCATTCACTATTGTGGAAGTTATGGTCCTTTGAAAATTAGGACCACTTTTATGGGGTTTTTCTTATTTTAAAGTGTTAAAGAACAACTTTTCGAATATTTTTGCAATTTCTACATATTCTTCATCTAAATACGCGTTGTTTGCCGCGTGAAACATTAAAATCCTTCAATCCATTCAAAAGTTATGAATTTTCAAAGAGTGACTTTTCTAGCCTGAAATTATATTTTCGGTAATGAATTTTTTTCTCGAAAATGGTTAGGATTTCGAAGGTATGTCTATTCACCAAAAATGATTGTAATTCACCCCTGCAATTAAAAATATTTTTTCTAGAACGATTTGAAATTTTCTAATTTTGTCGAAAAATTTCACACCTTCTCGAATTTTTTTCTCGCAAATGGTTAGGAATTCGAGGGTATGTCTGTTCACCAAAAATGATTGCAATTCACCCCCGCAACTAAAAATAATTTTTTGAGAATGATTAATAATTCTTCAATTTTGCCAAAAATTTGTCCACTTATGGAATTTTTTTCTCGGAAATGGTTAAAATTTCGGGGGTATGTGTAATGACCAAAAATGATTGTAATTGAACCCTGCAGCTGTTAATATTTTTTTTAGAATGATTTGAAATTTTTTAATTTTCTGGAAAATTTGTCTACTTATTGAATTTTTTTCTCGAAACTGCGTAGGATTTCGTGAATGTGTGTAATGACACAAAATGATTGTAATCGACCCCTGCAACCGAAAATAATTTTTCTACGATGATTTGCAATTTTCTAATTTCGGCGAAAAATTTGTCCACTTACTGAATTTTTTTCTCGAAAATGGTTAGAATTTCGAGGGTATGTCTATTCACCAAAAATAATTGTAATTGACCCTATTAACCAAAAATAATTTTTCCGTGAATGATTTGAAATATTTGATTTTAATTTTTTAATAACTTTTTAACGAAGCCTCAATCAACAAATTGATATTCTAGATTTTCATTTTATTTTGAACCAAAATGGACGAGATTTCGAAGAATAGCTCTGATGACAAATAATTATAGTATCTGAATAATTAAAGGTGCAAACTGATGAGTTTAGGTTTTAGTTCCATGATTTAGAATAATCTGCCTCGTTCGTATATTCTTTGGGACAGCGTGTAGCTGATTTGGACAGTGAGCCACTGTTTTAAGAGACAAACGGCTCAGTTAGGACTCGTTAACAAGCAAAACCATCGAGTTGTATCGAGATGAGTCGACGAGGCACACCTGAATCATCCGAGGAATGTAACACTATATGGAGAGTTCGGATTTACAGTGTTCCCTTCATAGGGGCCAGGCTACCGCGGTCAGAGGAAAAAGGGGGACTGCTTTAACAGTAGCTGAACACGGTCCTTCGAATAATTTCAAGTGGACGAATCAATTTATGAACCTCCGTGACTCGTTGACTAAGACGAATAGCTCCTCGCGGTGCTCATCAATCCTACCCTGCTGCTAGTTGATTAAATTCCTTATAATTACATCTCGCTCGTTCGCTGCAATCTTGATAGCTTTCTGGTAACTTTGTAAATGGTAAATTATTCCCGAATGAATTACGCATAAGCACGGTTGCATCGGTCGATGGTGCGTGGAACGCTTCGTTTTTTTCGCAAAGTGTCTATTCTCAAGCGACCGTTGTCCTTGGAACATCGTCGCTCATTAACAATGATCCGCGAAACCGTTGAAACGCGTTGTTCTGTATCGCTTTTCACCCGGTACGCTTTAATTAATTTATCGCCGGATAAATTCGCTATTGATTACACAACGGTAATTATAACCTCACCGGTGTAAAAAGATAGCATTGATTTATAGAGATAATTCGCCAATTAAAGTGGAATGCCGAGTGCGGTCAATCGAATTCTTCCTACGAATCTAACTGAAGTTTATTTTTAGAATGCGCGCGATTAAAATCGAAAAATTAATTTAACAATACCAAACAAGCAAAACGTTTTTGTGTAGGAGAAATATTTCTATGGTCATCGATGCATTTTCAATTGAGAATAAGTATAGAAATTTAATCGATGAAGATATTATATTTCGAATTAATGAATATTCTATATTATTTATATTTCCCCTATTTAATCGAGTATGAAAATTATGAAAAAAATCTGGTGCATTGCGACTATTGAGATACGTGTTTGAGAATTTTTTCCGATTTTTCGATTTCAAATCCTGGGCGTGAAAAATTAAAAACGCAGAAAAATACCGATTTCGTATTGAAGCTTTCGAGACACTAGATTTATATAATTACTGTAAATGCGTATTGTCGGTGGTTATCTCCCTGAATTTTTTCAGATTTTTTTATTGCAAATCCTGGGCGTGAAAAATTAAAAACGCAGAAAAATACCGATTTCGTATTGAAGCTTTCGAGACACTACATTTATATAATTACTGTAAATGCATATTGTTATTGATTATCTCCCTGAATTTTTTCAGATTTTTCGATTCCAAATCCTGGGCGTGAAAAATTAAAAACGCAGAAAAATACCGATTTCGTATTGAAGCTTTCGAGACCCTAGATTTATATAATTACTGTAAATGCGTATTGTTATTGGCTATCTCCCTGAATTTTTTCAGATTTTTCGATTCCAAATCCTGGGCGTGAAAAATTAAAAACCTAGAAAAATACCGATTTCGTATTGAAGCTTTCGAGACACTAGATTTATATAATTACTGTAAATGCGTATTGTTATTGGCTATCTCCCTGAATTTTTTCAGATTTTTCGATTCCAAATCCTGGGCGTGAAAAATTAAAAACCTAGAAAAATACCGATTTCGTATTGAAGCTTTCGAGACACTAGATTTATATAATTACTGTAAATGCGTATTGTTATTGGCTATCTCCCTGAATTTTTTCAGATTTTTCGATTTCAAATCCTGGGCGTGAAAAATTAAAAACGTAGAAAAATACCGATTTCGTATTGAAGCTTTCGAGACCCTAGATTTATATAATTACTGTAAATGCGTATTGTTATTGGCTATCTCCCTGAATTTTTTCAGATTTTTCGATTCCAAATCCTGGGCGTGAAAAATTAAAAACCTAGAAAAATACCGATTTCGTATTGAAGCTTTCGAGACACTAGATTTATATAATTACTGTAAATGCGTATTGTCGTTGGTTATGTCCCTGAATTTTTTCAGATTTTTTGGCAGGGTGCGCCGTAGTAGCAAAAATGAAAAACCGATTTTTTCGGCGTTTTTCGCGTGAAAAAGCAACTTATACTTTGAATTTTTGTATTCCCTTTAATAGATAACTATATTCAGTGGTTTTAAACATTTCCATGTTGAGTAAAACAGATACAAACTTGCAAATAATTTCAGATATAAATTACGAATAATATAAGAAAATTATCTGTGTTGCAAAAGAAACATGAATTCGGTTCGATATCGGTGGACTTTCAGCAGTTCGTTGCGTAATTCGAAACGTCAGATGCAAGTAATTGTTTGCTACTTTCAGGAGTTGCTTATCATGCAAATTGTTACGAGTGTAACGAGCTACGAATTCCAGATAACGCGAAACGATCGTGAGAGGGAACGTAAGTAAGCAAAAATATTGCCAGGCTTCCTGAAAATCGGTTTGAGAGTGGATCGTAACCACATGCCTGGCATTACCGAATTCGAATCCGCGGTAATACATCGTTCACATCGTTAAAAGTGCTTTCGTCGAACCGCCCGTAAAGCGTCCTCGTTAATTATGAATAATATGATTACAGCTGCTCTTCCCATGGTTTCCCTTTTGTGTGATCCAGCCTCAACGCGAGGATGAACTCTGCGATTCACAGAGCCGCGAACAGCGGAATGAAATTCCTCCGAGATCTTAACACGTGCGTGAAGCAATAGTGTTCAACACGCGTCGATAAAATTATTAATGTTCCAAGACGCGATACGGACGTCGATTATTGCTTCGAACGCACTCTCGATACAAGGAGAAAATTATCAGCGATTTTTGACTCATTCGAAGTACCACGAACCGTGTTAGAAAATGGTAACATAATTGGGGTAGCAATTACAACGAAAATATATAATTGATTAAGCAAAATTGCAATGTTTAGACTTCGGAGGATTTTTTGTTATTATTAGTGAGCCTGAAAAGTGGAATCCTTGTTCTAAAATTAGTATGATATTCCATATTGTATAAGTGTGCAATAATATTCAATAATATATTACATAAGTATGCAATAATATATTGTATAAGTATACAATAATATATTGTATGTAAAATTCTATTGTATAAGTATAAAATGTAGAATACAATTTAAAAAATAACTTGATTTTGAGAATATATCAACAAACTTTCATACTTGGTTGTATTTTGGTTTGTAAAATGAGTTTCTACCTTCACATATTGTGTACGATATACTGTAACTATTTACAACAAGATTCATATTATTTATATTGGAGCACATATTTTAAAAATCGATCATCTTCCAAAAACAAAATTTTATTCCACTTTCATTATAAAAAATAAATTAGTCTCGAACTTCAAACAATGCTTCACGAAACATATATAATTAAAAGAAGAAAAATTTATTGAACGATGTGTAATTAGACCAGCGATAGGATGTTTTTAATTAACAAGACTGAATAAATAAAATTCCGCCAAAAGAATCGTTAAATATTTATCGAGTTGCACGAGAATGTAACCGATTGCAAAATGTTTCTTCAGCTGTTTCTCAATCCTCTTATCGTTATCAGTACAACCGGCAATCGCGAAAAGAAACGTAAGCAGAGTTTCGCGAATCGATCCGGTATTCGTAAGAAAAAGAGTCTGGTCGTTAATCAGCACGATGGTTCCGTGTTATCGCGGCGGAAGTTATGGAACACGTTCGAATTCTTCTAGCTCACCTGAGTCCACGAGAAAAAACGTCGCATTTAACAGTGATCCCACTGAATCATCCTCGGTTTTTGTTTCTGTTAGCGTAATCCTCCTGCTACGGTTTTCGTTTCCGGGAATGATGCACTGTTACGAGGAATGTTCACGATCGAAGAACCCGACAGAGCCACTGCGATCGCCGGAGAGTACGATCAAAGCGTCTGTTTAGACCGACCGAGCGGGTCCGGACGACTGAACGCGCCACTCGTTGCGCCTTCACAGTCAGCCTCGATTCCTACCTTCTCTTTCTCTTTCTCTCCCTCTTCCAGGGTGCAGTTCTCTCCGTCTATGTAAATAGAAACGTTACTTGCAAATCGTTACACGATTATAGGTTCAAATCGATGAATCCATGGAGCCTAAAGTCGTAACAACGATCTCGATAGCTCAATTTTATTATTAGGTCGTCCCATAAGTTCATGGCCGTTCGATATTCCGAAATTGATGAGGATAAAATTTGTAATCCAATAAAAAACAATGAAAATTTGTCAGTTTAGGTGGACTTCTGAAATTTCAAACATAGCAACATCAACAATTCATAGACATTTGAAACGAATAGATATTATGTCAATACTTCTTTTTTTTATCCCTCTGGAGGAGGAGATCCAATTCTTTATCAACATTTATTTTGATTTTTTGGTCATCCTGAAGTGTATATTTTAATTTCACCTGGATTTCGTTCAATTTCTCATATTATTTTTAACGAAAGAGGTAAAAGAGAAACATCTGGTAATATTGGAATGATTTATGCTATATTAGGTATTGGATTTTTAGGTTTTATTGTATGAGTAGGATTAGATGTTGATACTCGAGCTTATTTTACATCAGCAACTATAATCATTGCTATTCCTACTGGAATTAAAGTTTTTAAATGATCGATATTTAAATTTCTTCGTATCGAGAGAGCATTTAATTAAACTTCAGACCCTCCTATTGAAATATAGTATAAGTTTGCAAGTTTCCACGGAATGACGATACTTACGTATGAATCTTTAAATTTAATCCGCTAGAAATACAAATTTCTTCGAGATAAATATCGAGAAAATATTTAATTAACCTTCGGATGTTCCTATTGAATAGTATAAGTTCGTAGAAGATGTTTGCTCTCATCAAGGGTTGCAAAGAAACCGATTTCGTTCCCCATGATGGATAGACTGCCATCAGTGGCATGTAGTAACATACTTCTGGTTAGGCTTCCCGTCACGCATCGTGATCTAGACCTAGAGTGATACTGTCTCTCGATCATCGCTGTTTTTTTTCATCTATTTATACCGCTTTGTACACATTCGAGTTATGCAGTCGTATAGGCGTGGAATTGACATTGGCTGGAAAACGAGAACTATTAATATCAACGTTATGCGGAGAAAGAATATTAAGAAAAAAATAGCTGACATTTGAATATTTAACTGTATCGGACACGTGACGTTTAAATTAATTCCAATGAAGGCTTGACCAAATGTCATTACTTTCTTGACCTTTGAACGATCATGCGGGGACCTATCAGCGACCCCTGATTATCTCATTAATAACTCATCGATTTAATTAAACGAATACTTTTCAGTTTAGGTAATCCTTCAAATGATTTTAATTGAATTGATTGAAATTGAGTAATTTAAGCATGTGATTGATTATTTCATTAATAACTCGTCGATTTAATTAAACGAGTTCTTTTCAGTATTTAGGTAATCCTGTCTTCAAATGATTTTAATTGAAATTGAGTAATTTAAGCATGTGATTGATTAGAAATTCCACGCGATGCTTTAAGTATTTAATATATAATTAGAATTATTAATTTAAAGAAATATACTGGGTGAACCACGTAACTTGATCAGCTAAATTTATTACTCATGCTCCGTTCAAAGTATTTTTTGTCTGGTATAGCATGGTTTAAGCAGAGGTTTGAAAATGAGTATACTAAATTTTTTGATAATTATAGTTCATAAAGAAACCTATTTTTTAATATTTATATAGGCAAATTTTTCAAATTTAAATAAGGAAAAAACGTTATGAAGAATTCTTGTTATCAACCAGAATTAGAAAAACACAAATTAGAGAAAAATTTAGAATAATTGTTTCGAAGCTCTTCCTAAATTATCTTATACCAAACAAAATATTTTCAAGAGACCACAGGTAAAGGAAAAATTAGGCTGATGAAGTTATTATATGTATTTATCTCCAGATTTAAAGTAAACGAATGGAAGACGTGGCTTCTTCTGTGGATACGTGATTGTTAGATTTGTATGCCATCATGCCAGAGGCTTTCTCACCCGTGGCTCATGCAAATGTAGTCACCGACATTGAACAGTTGACATTGAGCGCCGGGAAACGGTCATTAAGCTCAATATCGATGTACGCACGCTTGGTGATCGACCGCAATGTCATTAACCCCGATAAAACACTGATTACTCTCACCTCGCTTGAATACTAAATATTTTCTAGCTCCCCCTTTTCAACGAGCCCCCATATCAAAATTATAATCCACAAAACGAACTCGAAAAAAGAACTTATGTATATAAGCGTAACGAATTAAATGTTATTTATTACTTAGACACGTTTCAGAATTTCTAATTTATTTCTTTTTGTCGAAATAACCTGTTGAATATATCAAGGATCTTGGAAATTATTTTCAAAATGGAGGTTATTTATCAAAGTCCACGAATGTAAGATTGTAAACAAAAACTATACTTAGTGGTGAAAATAATTACTGTAAAAATTCTTGCATCTATACATCAAAATTCTAATCTAAATTAAAATTTTGCATACAAGATTGCCCAATATTAAATTAGAAAATATTATATAAAACGTGAGTTATTGAAATCAAGCACGATTAGGATGAGAGATTGAAAAATAATTACTGTAAAAATTCTTGCACTATAAATCAAACTTCTAATCTAATTAAAATTTTGCATAGGAGATTGTCCAATATTAAATTAGAAAATATTACATAGAACGTGAGTTATTGAATAATAATATTAAATATTATATTAAACTAGCATGCCCCGTCTCGGCTTCGCCCGACCTTGTGCAAAAGCAATTTATGACCAGACGATCGTCCTGACATATATATCCGCGATAATGCAATTCTCTCGCGAGAGAGCGCTCGAGAAGCTTCGCCACCTGGCGGTGACATCGCAGTACTGCTACCGGGCGAGGATAGGGAAAACACACCATCGTAAAAGTGCGCGTATAACGCATATTCGTAGAAATTTTTCGATGTTTTTTTTTCATAAACCATCAGTGAAAGTAGACCTATCCAACGCATGTACTCGTTTGAAAATCGGTTGAGTGGTTCTCGAGTTATAAAATCACGAACATAGGACAACTTATTTTTATATAGATAGAAGAAAGAAGAAAATATTACATAGAACGTAAGAATCAAGCACGATATAATGTAAGAGTTGTGAAATACTATAAAATTAACAAGAATGTATTAAGATTATTACCATTAAAAATCTTCAAATGAAAAATGATTTATATACTATGTACTATTTACATATTTCAATAGATTATTTCTATGTATTTATTTCGTTACATTTCGTACGCGTGCTATTTCTTAATTTCTCCTATCAATATTTATGGTTACTTTTTCCTGAAATGTGGAATGATCGTGAGAGAAGTGCTCCACTATACTGACGGTTCTCTTATCCTATGTCGCATCTGCCTATTAGCTGGAATAACGGATCCACCGTATACACTTTCGATAACGATACGGATAAACAAACGTACGAATTTCCGGTGCGATCGAGCGTGCATGTTTCTAGATCTGCCTTCGAGGCGTTCGTTTTGCAAAACGTCACGCTTTCAAAGTGTCACGCATCAACGGTTAACACGTACCCATATGTGTACACACATGCGAATACACGTATCAGTTTATTGGTACTTTCGAGGACACGTGCGCGGTTTAACTGTAAAACTTAATGTTTCGTCTTGGAACGAGGCAAGCCGTGTCTGAACTGTAATTTTCGGTTCTCTCCATTGTTCACGAGCTATAAAAATTGATCATTATTGCGGTTCGGTGTGCAAGTTTACAAAAGGGCTCTAAAACCCAAACGTCTTTTCGTGCCCCAAATTTCACCCGTTTAACCCCCCTCACCCTCCAACATAAGTGGGCAAAATTGCAAATGTTAAATAAAAATTTACGTTGGTTTTATTCATTATCTATTATTTAAACTTCTATCCAACATTGACCTACTTGTAAGTAGAAACAATAGAATTTTTATCTAGCTACAAAATTTCAAATAATTTAATCAATTATTGATGCATTATTTGATCAATAAAAATCACAATTTGAACTGTACAATCAAATTACACGTTAGTAGAATTAAATTCTTATTTCTTTAATATAATTTAAATTGTTTCTAAGAAATATTTTATAACATTGAATTCTAATTTTGCTTTTTTGGAAATTAATAAAAGATAGTTTGATGGATTTCTTGTTTGTAACGAGATAGTTATGTACGTATGTATATAACAAAATCCAAAAGTCTGTGAATCAAATGAAAGTTATAATCTGTTGGAACAGCGAGCATGGAAACTTCTTTGCATGTTTTCTGGACTTTTATCGAAGCTAACCAGTGATAATACACGCGCTAAAATGCTCGAGAATGTTCCTATGATGAACGCGGAAAGTCCCTCTTCGAATATTTCGCGTATCGTAAAGCTGATATCCCGCGTTTATGTTGCCCGTGCTATCATTGTGCCGGGGCGTTATCGGCTACATCGGTTAACTATGGTTTTCACCATGTACACCGCGTGGAAAAGAAACCCGTGCACGATAAAACGGCAATGTACTGCTCCAAGCTATAAAGATTGCACCTGAGTAATGTCCACGATGAGAGATCCGTCTTTTTGTCTATAAAATGCGTTTGTCACGCTTAGCTTTCTCGATTAGGTTCTGGAAAAAATTATTGTCGGTTGCAGGGGTCAATTATAAGTATTTTTGGTCAATACATATATCCTCGAAATCCTAACCATTTTCTAGAAAAAAATTCGAGAAGGTGTGAAATTTTTCGGCGAAATTCAAAAATTTCAAATCATACTAAAAAAATTATACATAGTCACAGGGGTCAATTACAAGTATTTTTGACCATTAAACATACCCTCGAAATCCTAACCATTTTCGAGAAAAAAAATTCAGTAAATGGACAAATTTTTCGATGAAATAAAAAATTTCAAATCATTCTAAAAAAATTATACATAGTCACAGGGGTCAATTACAAGCATTTTTGATCATTAAACATACCCCCGAAATTCTAACCATTTTCGAGAAAAAAATTCGAGAAGATGTGAAATTTTTCGACAAAATTGAAAAATTTCAAATCGTTTTAAAAAAATTATACATAGTCACAGGGGTCAATTACAAGCATTTTTGGTCATTAAACATACCATCGAAAACCTACCCACTTTCGAGAAAAAAATTCGAGAAGTTGTGAAATTTTTCGTCAAAATTGAAAAATTTCAAATCGTTCTAAAAAAATTATTTTCAGTTGCGAGGGTCAATTATAATCATTGTTGGTCATTACACACACCCTCGAAATCCTAACCATTTTCGAGAAAAAAATTCAATAAGTGGACAAATTTTCGACAAAAAAAATATCTTTCAAATCGATCTAAAAAAATTATTCTCGGGTGCGGGGGTCAATTACAATCATTTTTTATCATTACATATACCCTCGAAATACTAACCATTTTCGAGAAAAAAATTCCATAAGTGGACAAATTTTCGGCAAAATTCAAAAATTTCAAATCGTTCCAAAAAAATTATTTTCAGTTGCGAGGGTCAATTACAATCATTTTTGGTGAATAGACATACCCTCGAAATTTTACGCATTTTCGAGAAAAAAATTCCTTTTCGAAAATATACTCTGTGTCCAGAAATGTTTCTATAACTTTTGAACGGAGTCTCAATCAACAAATTAATATCCTTGATTTTCGTCTCCTTTTGGCCTCTAGAATCTCCAATTAATATTTTTTCCAGGATTGGCAAATTAACTTCCATGCGAAAAATATTTTTAAACGTCGGCCATATTGCTTTCTACATTGTGGAATATAAAGAATGTACATAATTACTTTTTGTTGAAACTTTCGTTGAAATAAACTGTTATCTATATTCTCTTCATTTTCATTTATAACTAATGCCCATTTGCATTCTGTTTCTATCTATTTTATCCTAGACATAACCAATTACCAAAAAGTACACATTTTTTGGTTAGATTTCTTAAACAATCGTAGGACGCTTAAGATATTAAAATTATTCAACTTATTTACAATCTCGCAGAGAAATATAACTAAGAAATGTACCTGTTTTCAACTGCTCAATAACATTTCCACGTTTAGGCCAAAAATTCTATTTGTCTTTGTGGCAGGACACTTCGCACAATCCGATCACACTCGTCGCAAGTTTTTTAAACGTTCGCGGAAGTTGTACCGTGCATATTGGCGCGACGATCGCAACGAAACTTTACCGACAGAGAGCGAATGATCATTTTTCCGTGTCGAGTGAACCTTCTAAGCAATTGCAACGTTGATGCGATTGCATTCGGGCTCGATTCGTATCGAGAGGATCTCGATTAAACTGCGGCAGGTTTCTCCGTGAAAACATTCAGCGCCGAAGTAAATGCATCGCCGAAACAACGAACTACGTCGAGTACGGTAGTGTTACGCAGAACGTATCGGAGCGTTTTCTCACTCGCATGTAACACGAGGATTAAAAAAAAAAAGTAGAGATTGCCTGGTGGAACAAAATAGAGACGTCCGTAGGGACTTAGCCATCTTGGAAAGATATGTCGTATTGGTCAAAACATCAACAATATAGTGTGTATTATTCGATACATGTTGCTAGCTTGCTTTAACTAAGGCTGACTACACCGTCTATCAACGGGACTGGAGGACGACACGGTGGCGTATCTGACACGCGGACGTAATCGCAGAAGAAGCACAGGCTTCGTCGAACGATGAATCGCACTGACGGATTGGTACAACGACGACGTGTGGTTAATAGTAGTAGCGGTAGCAGTCTGGGCCAGGATGGCTCGAACGATGTCGGCCACAACGACAAACTGTCGGGCCATGGGATGGACACAGATTCTTCCGTGCAGAAGGATCAAAACTCAAATCCCACGATCGATGACGATTCTGATAAGGAAACACGGTTAACGCTCATGGAGGAAGTGCTTTTGCTTGGCCTGAAGGACAAGGAGGTTTGTTGATAGTGTTGTCCTCTATTCTACATGGGATTCCTTTCATGTCACATCCTGTAAGATGTGCAAATGGCTTGTATTTAGATCTTGAAGAGTATATTCTGATGCAGGGTTATACATCATTCTGGAACGACTCTATAAGTTCCGGACTACGCGGTTGTATCCTGGCAGAACTTGGGTTCCGTGGTCGAGTAGAGTTAGAAAAGGCCGGTATGCGTAAGAAAGGGTTATTGGTGAGGAAACTTCTGTTGAAAAATGATGCACCTACAGGGGATGTTTTGTTGGACGAAGCCCTCAAACATTTAAAGGAAACTGACCCACCAGAAACCGTTCCTAGCTGGATCGAATATCTCAGTGGTTAGTTTATCTTTCTCTAGCATCAAAATATTTACCAGATTGTTTCACTTTCAATGTTGTTTTTACTTTGTTCAGGAGAAACATGGAACCCGCTCAAATTAAGATACCAACTGAAGAACGTTAGAGAAAGATTAGCAAAGAATCTTGTGGAAAAGGGAGTCTTAACCACGGAAAAACAGAATTTCTTACTCTTTGATATGACAACTCATCCTCTTACCGATAACCTTGCCAAAAGCCGTCTTGTAAAAAAGGTATGTTAAACAAAAATTTACAAAAAGGATTTTACCATTTTTTTTTAAATATTCTGAATTCTCTAAAAACCCAAAAATTATATGTGTAAATTCGATAGTTGAAATTTCCATTATGGTCAAAACTACGGATATATCTTATCTCATTTTATTTATATGTATGCCGCGATTAGATTATCGAGTTCCATAGGTTTTCAAATTTTTAGTAGTATGCGAGAACTCGATGGGACGAATCGAGATTAGGTCAAGTTGGGTTAGGTCGAACTCCCGAAGAAGTCGGGGGTTCCCGAAAATTTTTTAGACTTTTGAAAAGAATTCGTGATGGAGAACATTCTAGTTTTCGTAAAATTATTGAAAACACGGATTTTAAGAATCATGCGACCTGATGTAAACAAACGTGTGACTGCACACTTACAAGGAACCATCGCGAACGGTCCGGCTTCGATTTTGATGAAACTTTGTACACTTATAAAGCAGCCAAAAATAATCCAGGAAAAAATTATTTTCGGTTGCGGGGGCCAATTAAAATCATTTTCGGTCAATACATATACCCACGAAATCCTACGCACTTTCGAGAAAAAAATTCCTAATCGAAAATGTAATTTATGGCCAGAAATGTTGTCCGAAAATTTCGTGCGTATCTTTACAACGTCATAACTTTTGAACGAATTGGAGGATTTTAATTTTCAAAAATGCAAACGACGCGTATTTTAATCAAGAATACGTAGAAACTCCAAAAATATGCAAAAAGTTGATCCTTGACCCCGCAAAATGAGAAAAACCCCATAAAAATGGTCCAATCTTCAAACAGCCATAATTCCTACAATAGTGAATATATTTCAATGAAACTTTTTTCTGAAGTAGAGCTCGTAGGTATCTACAAAAAAGTACTAAACAAAATTTCCGTAGGACGTCGAACAAATTTGTTAAAAATGAAAAACGAATTTTTACGAATAATTGACAAGTGCCTAAATTTTTCGGCGAAAAAAAATTTCAAATCGTTTTAAAAAAATTATTTTTAACTAGGGAGATTAATTACAATCATTTTTGGTGAATAGGCATACCCTCGAAATCCTAACCATTTTCGAGAAAAAAATTCCTCATCGAAAATATAATTTCAGGCTAGAAAAGTCACTCTTTGGAACGTCATAACTTTTGAATGGATTGAAGGATTTTAATGTTTCGCGCGGCAAACAACGTGTATTTAGATGAAGAATATGTAAAAATTGCAAAAATATGGAAAAAGTTGATCCTTGACCCCGCAAAATGAGAAAACCCCCATAAAAATGGTCCAATCTTCAAACAGCCATAATTCCTACAATAATGAATATATTTCAATGAAACTTTTTTCTGAAGTAGAGCTCATAGGTACCTACAAAAAAGTATTGGCCAACTTTTTTGTAGAGCGTCAAACAAAATTATTAAAAATGAAAAACGAATTTTTAAGAAAAATCGAAGCCGGTCCGTTCGCGATGGTTCCTTGTTAGTACTTGGGCATTGTGCATTTTTGGGAACCCCGATTCTTTCGAAATTTTTGTGTTCCCGACCCGATTTATTTGTCAGAAGCACTTATTTTGAATACGTCAGATATTTAAATATTTTTAATGCGAAATAATAGGTAAAATTAAAAATTTTTTTACTCACAGATTCAGGAAGCTGTATTAACACGCTGGGTTAACGATGCTGGTCGTATGGATAGGCGAACGTTAGCATTAGTAATATTAGCTCATGCGGCCGATGTATTAGAAAACGCATTCGCGCCACTTTCCGACGACGATTACGAGGTAGCAATGCGACGGGTACGAACTTTACTAGATCTTGACTTTGAGGCAGAGGCTGCTAAACCTAATGTAAATCCGGTACTTTGGGCCGTGTTCGCAGCATTCACCAAGTAACAGACCTTTTATAAATTACGAGTGTATAAAGCAAATACTGGGTACTAGCGTGAATACTTGGGACTATAAATTTTTGCATGAACTTTAGTTGCAATCTGAAATTGAATAGCTACTATCATTGTTAACGATCATACAATTCAGACCAAATACCTTTGAGCCCGACTGTGTAAAGCAGACTTAGAATAATTAGTAACTCCCGTTATTGTTATTTAATACATTTGATAGCTGAATTATAAATATTCGTATTTAAATATTACAAAAGTAACAAAAATTAATAGTGTGAATGATTACTTCGAGTGCGGGGTAGTGCCATTGTCAGTTAAGGAATGAAAGATTGCACCGTGCTGAGTTTCTGTCCCATAATCGTCTCAGTATCTATCGTGTCTGCACATGGACTGCAAATATGTTTATAGACACAGTATTTATGTGGCGGGGCATTTAATGTCGGATTAAATGTCACATTCCTGCGAGTGTCTGAATGTGGAAGCGATGAAAGTAATTCTTTGCACTGTTGCGACAATGACGACGAATTTTTACTATTTCTTTAGATATACCCCCTTTGTACCAAACTGGATCGTACTAGGTTACTCGCAAAAAACTACTTTTTATGGAAATGTTACATAGCTTCAGCTGGTGGCAGTAAAGTACTCGGATGTCGAAAAATATAATTATTTTATAAACATCGTTTCTATCATATGTTTAACTCTCTTGATGAAGTCTTTAGTTAATCGCGAATGTGTAGATACAGATACGTTTTCGATTGCATTCTGTTATCAACTTCTCCCCGTATATGTTTATTAACATTGTATGATGTGATGTGTAAGTTGAAAAAATATGCAAACTTCGGATTTGACTGTTATAAATAACATTTTGGACAACAAAAACCACAACGCCATTAAAAACGGATCCTGAGTTTCCAAGGTTATTCTTTCTCGTGCAATATATTGAAAAGAGTAAGTAATATATTCAATTTCTTTTTTTTAGTTTTTGTTAAATTCTCAAGTACGTATAGGGTGATCAAGAAATATTTAATCTTTTTTAATCTTTACAGTCGCACGATGTAACTTAATTATTGTTTTTAAATTGAACACTTTTTAATACGATTCGAACTGTAAAACGTGTAATTGTCTGTATAAAATATATTTTAAAATAATCACAAATCGCGCCATTGCCTAAGAATCGACGAGTTAGTCATATTTATTTGATAGTGGCATTTTTCAACATTATAAAGTACTTTGGTTTTAATAACGAATGTCATTTTTCATACCCAAATTGAAAGAGAGAACGAAAAAATTATGTATAGTTGTGTACCTATCGATACTATATAAATTGGAGATTCTATATTTTTAGTAATAGAATTTTAATTATTAGTTTAATTAACCAACTGGTATAGCATTTCTTAATTTAACTTAATATCTAATCTTAAATATCTTTATGCGATTATATATTTCTTGAGACATCTCGTATCAATCGCATAGAATTACGTTTCGTAACACGAAGATATTTTAGTTAGTATTACTTGTAATGTTGAGGGAATTCGTGTGTAAGTTTGTATAATATATAAAATTATTTCTTCTTCTTAAATTCTTGTGTATCAGAAAATGGTAAATTTATTTTTGTCTATATATCACTTGAAAATAAACAAGAGATAAAGAAATAGGTATTCTGAAGTCCCTTACTATTGCTGCCTTAGTATTATGAGATTATTGTTATTTCATTATGTTCGTACTACAGTAACGAAGTACTATTATATCGTACCTAAAGTAATATAAAGATTTACCCGGAAGAAGTTTAAAAAGCATCAGCTATTGTTAAATTTCTTATAATGTGACGAATAATTAATAAACATAATAATTTTATACACATTATTGAAAAGTTTATAAAAAGGAACAGTATAAAGAAAAATTGTCCTAACAGCTTGCTGGACAAGCATATTTCATGAATATTAAATTAGCACTTTAGTACTTATTATGATATTACCAATAGCTAATAATGCTTCCATGAATAAGAATTTATTTTATTCATAAAAATTGTATATTAATCTATAGACACTGAGTAGATTTCTTTAAAATTCTTTTTAATTTTCGAAAAGATGCTACAATGAAATATTTAAATTATATAACAGTAATTAAAAAAGTATTTCGAGTTTAGTCAGTATTTTAATTTCGTATAATAATATATTTAAATTGGACATATTAAAATATAAATTAAAACTCATAAACTCCTGAAAGTATTAATTATGGTGGTTATAATTTAAAAATTTGTATTAATTTTTAATAATATTGTGAAGAAATGGACATAAAAAAAAAAAAGAAAAAATACATCTGTTTAATTCATTTTCTTTGCATATTATTGATCATATGCTGGACACGATAAGAACGATATTTTTATCATTACCGTACTGTACGTAAAACAGGTAATATTTCAACCGAGATATATTTATGTGATAGTTAATAAGTTATGGTTTGAATAAAGGAAGTTTAGGTTTTTGGAGATGTTTATTTTACATTTGTGTGTAACCTTTTACACTGTTATATTTACAGTTAAACCATCTCATTCGGGAACATAATTTACAATACGAAAATTCTGTTCTTAAGTGTATCACATATACATATAACATATAAAAATAAAAAATGCATTAGTTGTAGAAATTTATAAAAAATATCTCGGAAAATATTCCATCTTATTTCAATACACGTTAACATTGGTATTAACACAAATAATGATTTATGAAAATGTATAGAAGTTAAAAATAGTACATTTTATTCCTAAAAATTGATTTATTATTTATCATTCCAAATCGAAAGGATTTTACACGCTAATGAAAATGAGATGAGCTACTGTTGAACGAGAATTTGTTACATGCTTTGTTGCAAAACCATTCGCGATCGCTTTACATTACCTGTTTTACAACTGTTCACGTTGCTACCAAATCTTAACGAATTTAATGTTTCATTGTAACACTCGTCCAAAGGTGAAATATTTAGTAACATTAATGTTTTCGAATTACCACCCAGAGACGGCATTAGCAAATGAGTAAGTTTCGAATTTCTGTAAGGTATATGTTCTTGTTTTTTCAGAAGAGCTAGAATAACGTTGCTTAAATTCGCCAGTGATTTGTTAATATTTTTTGTCTCGGTCGTTCGTACCGATTCCTCGCTCTTCAATCTCTCAGAACCCGCCAAGTCTATTAAATTTAGGTTCCCTATCGAAACTTCATTTCTCGTTTTATGTGTTCCGATAAGTTTTATTCTCGCGACCGAATGTGATCTTGATGATCTAGAAATAATATAATCTCACTTACATAGTCCGGATACTCCACTGCTCATAAATTTATCGATCACTTTTACATAATTGGTAAAAGCAAAGGATATATTTACCGTTCGTTCGATTGAGTGGCTGCAACTGCTCTGTTATGTTGCGCAATCAAAAGATACTGATGCAATTCTTCGGGGCTACGTATTTCCTGTACTTTTAGGTTGCTCACGTATAAATCTTGCCCTTTACTGTCGGTCATTCGGATCTCGTGCGTTTTCGCTTGAGAATCAAGTAAATCAACAATAAGCTCGTTATAAATCTCAAGGAAACTCGCTTTTATTTGGAACTCCCACCCAAGCAATTTATACTGCATCATTTCTTTAAATATGTGCCGTACCTAATCGAGCAAGTGAAAGAAAAATATTTTTTTAAACTGGTTAAATACAGTAGTGCCCACATAAGCGAACATCGAGCGTGTCGAGCGTAACTTGACGCTGGTCGTTATCGGTATACTAATTGTATCTCACTTATCCTCTTTCCTTATCTCCGATTTCTGAGAAGGAACCATGTTTATACAAACGAGCTCAGTTATTTATGTGGGCTCTACTGTACACTCTTCCAGAAATTCTACTAAACAAACTGGTACATACTGTCCTAGGTATCATGCCCTCTGTATCGATACCAGGCAAACCTTCCATTGTATACGTTTTACCAGAACCAGTCTGACCATACGCGAATACACAAACATTATAACCTTCTAAGGCAGATTGAACTAAGAGAGCTAACTCCTCGAAGACATCTTGTTGACTAGTGTCGGGTGGAAAAACTTTATCGAAGGAGAATTCCTGCCGCGTTGTTCTAATCTTTCCGCTACAACTAATCGTATCGGATTCGTTCATTTTACTCAACTCGATAGTGCACTCGTCTACGAAGTTCATAATGCATGTTCTGTGAACAGTGCAAACGATTGAAAATTTGTCAATCTATTTCTATGCTGCTTAAATATACATACCTTTTTCCTTTTTCGCGCGGAGTTCTAGGACGCACTCTGCAGAATACACGAATATTTCCCTTCGCTTCTTGTAACGCATTGTGTAAAACTCTACGATCCATGTCCATTGTATGAATTAGAGATTGTAAGTCACTTTTTATCGTATTCAATTCTTCGTTACTTTTCTTTTGTATCTCCAGATCTGTTTGTAAATCTTTTACTTCGGACGTATGGTTCAGTAGGAGAGTTTCTTGAGAAATACATTTCGCTTCAAATTCCTTTAACGATTCAGAAACAATTTCAAATGATTTTTCTGTTTCTTTTAGACGTTTGCTTAAATCATCTCTTTGTTTTTGTACGATCGCCATCTCCGCTTTCAGTTCTTCGAGTTCATTGCTTAACTCTTTATTTAAATTTTCATACTCGAATGCAGTCGATTTGTACAAATTTGCATTTGCTTCCGAAGTATTTACTTGATTCTGAAGATCGTTCAATTTTAATTCGGTTTCTTTATACTTTTGTCGCAGATCGAGTAACTCATTGGTTGTGTGAGCCAAACGACCTTTCAAGTCCCACTTGCAAAATTTAACCGCGCCAGTATTTTGGATTTTTTTAACCGTTGAAAGTTGAGTAGTTCTACAGACATTATTGCTCGTCGATGTAGTAGCATTTTGTTGTACAATCATCGACTTAACAGCAGGCTTAATAAACGCCTTTTTAACTTCCATACGTACATTAGCATTTCTAGCTGGCCTCTTTATAGCTCTGGTGTTAATCGACGACAATGTTTTCGATCTCCTTACGTTATGCTTCGGCAAAGGTTTATTTTCTTTTGTATTTTTTGAATTAAGGTTCAATACGCTTTCTGCCTTGTTTACAACTTCAGACAGGCTGTTCGTACTCGTTAAGTGCAGATTATTTTGATCTTTTAATGCTTCCCGTGTATTCATTTTCATGCTAAAATCTGTCCCACTATTAAGTGAGTTTGTTAAAATGATTTTTGGTTTTGGTATACGCGATTCCATCTGTGAAATACTTTTATATAGATCGACGAATATTAAACGTAAGCGAGTCGCGTGCTTCTAAAATAATTAATCAAACCAACAACACACACGTCTATAGATACATTCTTTTAATCAAACGAATCCCCATTCCTCTTCCACTATGCATGCACTTGGAAATCGTTGACTATCTTCGAAATATTTGGTTCGATGATCAAATATTAAGTAAAACTCGTTAATTACAACTAAAGATTTTGTTTACTTATAATCGATCTCTACAAAACTTGAAAATGTGTGTTGTTCGTGAACAGAAATGTGTATACGAACGACAGTGACAGCAATCTAATAAAACAAACCTCTTCGATTATAATAAACAAACAAATTCCTCGTAGTCACCTACACCGACCGTTTACTAATACAATTCTTTATCATTAAATTACCCAATATTTTCATAAGAATAAAACTTTTATACTATTTTAAGGAAAAGGAAACACAATCATCTTCTTTAGTAGTAATCAAACGACGGTTAAAAATCAACCACTGGCTATGTTGCCATGTGACCAGTTTCTTCGCGCTTGCGCATTATAGAGGACATTAAATTAAACATGTGGACTAGGAAATTTTATTGAGAACGTTTTGAAGAAACAAGACATTTTAAATCCAACTACGTTACTGTTTTCGTTATCCCCTGATTACGAAAAATTCAGTTCATCCGGCAACAAAGCCACAACAGGTTATTCGCGCGAATTATCTTTTAAATTTTCCCGCGGTTGTAACCGGCGTAGTGCGCGCGCACCTCAGCCATCACTCGCCAAATTGTGCGACTAGTTCAATTTAAGTCCCGAAGAATGAAGCGTTTTTCTATTGTTGGAAGCTGTGGTTATTAATAATAAGTTGTGTTAACGATTTTACGATGGCGATTAAACGAAGAGTAGTTTTTTGTGAGACGATTGAACGAAGAGTGTACAACTAGCACGCGAGAAGTCAGTGCATTACTCCTGCTATAGTTGGAGGTACACAAAACTATTGTAACTCAATTATAAAAATAACATTTATAATTATTAAGTGCTACACCATATATGTATGTACAATCAATTATATACATTGAATACATAGAAGTTGAAATATAATACAAGGAGCAAATAGACATGTACAAAGTACATACAATAGCACATAGAAGTATTTTTGTATTTTAACATGTATTGGAACATTGGCACGTTCCAGCCAAAGTAGTTTGAATAAGTCCATATTGTCCAGTAATCATCCAATTTTCATCTTTCTTAAATAGTTCCTCTCCCATACCGGATGGTAAACCAACGCAAACATCTGATTTCACCGTTCTCAGACTAAGAACGTGCGTTGGTTGAAAACCTCTCAATGATTTACTAAATTCTGTTGTATATTCCCAATTTATATCCCCTACTAATTTCCTATAGTTTAAATCACCTTTAAATATTGCTAATTTAGCTTCCGATAGTTTTGCATATAACGCTTTGTCATGCTCTTTCATAGCTGCAAAATCATAAGGTCCGGTCCAATAGGATTCTTCCTAAATAATACGTAGATAGAGAATTAATATTACGTTATAATTATTTTACTAAAATTATGCAAAATGGAATATATGTTCTACCTCGATGATCCATGTATTATTCTTTAAATGAGCGGAAGCTAATTTAGCTAATTCTTGTAGGTCTTTATTTGGCGAATTGTTCATATAAAGTAGAGTCCAATAGAAATCGTCTTTTGTAGTATCGCTGACATACCACGGATAAAGTTTTACGTAAAATCTTATTTTTCCAGCTAGTTTACAAGCGATCAGAAATACTGCTAGACATACATCGGTGAATAGTTCGTATCCTGCATTGTCGAATACCATGTCTATGATATTTGTATCGCTTTCTTTTTTCCTTAGGAAATTCCACACAAATTCTGATCGATCTACAAGAATATCTTTACGTATCGACTGTAAAGTTTCTATAGGGTTACTAGTCGTGCTAACTTCCGCACCTGCGCTTAGCGACAAGTCGCATCTATAGAAAATATAACCCGGTTACTTTGTTAATAAAATTATCCAGAGAGATATTAAAAATTAAACATACTTGTTGCCCCAAAGATTTAGTTGAAGAAACTTAAGAAGTTCTTCTTTAGTTTCAACCTCCGATAAAGATTCTGCTCTTTGTACGTGTTTCATCGTATAAGTACAAAGCGCATTTATGCTACTCAGTGAATTAGTAAATGCACTTTGTTTCTGTTGTCTAAAAGGATCATAGTCGCGTAAATACTTCCTAAAAATAAAACAATTTATATCTGAATAATTTAATATATGCTTATTACTTTTTAAACGGTTTGTTAAATGGTTTCTAGAACATACTTAAGAGCAATCTCTTGCGCAAGCGCCCGATACATATAACATTCGCAATATAACCACTCTGTATTAAACCATGTCGGCGTACCACCTTCTATGTCGGTTCTTTTCATTAAATATTTATTCCATTCTTCAGCGTCATTACTACTTACAGGTAACAATTGTAGGGGCTTTAAAGTTTTGTTTGTAACTATTTCATTTTTTAATTTACTAATAAACCCTACCAATTGCTTAATTTCTTCCGTGGCATTCTGAAGCATTTAAAAATGATAGATATCAGGCATATTTTGATACAAATTCTATATTATTAAAGAAATGATTGTCTTGAAGCGTGCATTATACCTCCCCAAATTTTTGTGCAATGTTTTCCTTATCACGACTGATGGTATCGATTATTTTAGTTAAAATTATTGGTAATCTGTCTTTGAGAGTTATGTAAGCGAAACTCCTATAAAAAGACTAGTTTCAGAAATGGTAATAAATGAATATTAAATATTTCACAATGACTTTCAGTTGTGTTATTGTATGTAATAAATATTATTACGTACTTCGTTTGTGATTTCTAGGTTAAATACAGATAATAATTGTTTACCGTTTATAGATCCCTGACAAATGCACCCCGAAAGGTGTTTGTATATCCCGAAGGCCAACAATGTCTACCAAATCTGATTTTTCGGACATGGTTTCACTATCTAAATTCGTTTCTACGGCTAGACAATAGATCGCGATCAACCGTACATATACAATTAATCTTGAAACGAATAGATAGTGTTTTATATTTGCTTTTGGTTTAGCTTATGTAACAGAATGTAGATTCTACTATTTGCTATGTCGTTTTTCTGTTGAACCTGATAATAGTATCGTTTATTTTTTGGAATAATGTACGACTACGGCGAGCAAACGGTGAATGGGGTATTTACTGATTGCAACCACGTGTGATGCGCGTGCGTGCGTGATCTATCAGCTGTTATTAAACTGTAACATATATATACAATTTACGCGCGTAAAGCGCGCGAAACTGTCATTCAAAAGATGATAGATTTGCGAGAGAAAAATAAATTAAATAGATACTATAACTAAATAAATTTTTGGGGATCCTATGGATTAGATGGAAAAGGAATTAAATTTTAATACTTTGAAGTAAATAAAGAAGAATGTTATAACACCAGTGAGAAGTAATTTTAGATTTGTTTTCACTTCGATATCAATAGATAGTAGTCGAGAGGAATTTTATTTAGTTTACACGTGGATTTACATTTCAAATTCTTCTATTAACGACTTAAGTTGCATTAGCGTCAGCTGTTCCGGCAATTTAGTCGAACTTCCGTCGACTGATACTGAATTCACTGGTGAGGGGACGCGAATTATTTCGTCTTCTTGCTTTCACCGTGGTTTTTATTCACACCCTCGAAAACAAACTAGAGCGATAATTCAACTACAGGTGTTTCAGACTTTATTAAATTCGATGTTAAGGAGCGTCGCTGGGGTAGTTGCACTCGCGTTCCAAGCACTATTTAGACGCATTTCCACTGGTTTTATAACTTCGTGGAAAGCATCCCTAATTTATTTACGACTTTGATTATTTTTAGACTTTGCAAACTTACCAACTTTTTCAATTACTCTTAATTTGAAACTTTGAGCTAGCCATTCTAAAATTTTCAATGGTTGATTAAGTCTGGGTTTTGTGGATATATTTATTATATATTTAACTATATTTACGAATTTTTGCGATGCATAATATCTATTGATTACAAAGTTTTTGTTGACCAAAAAAAAAAAATTTTAAATCGTTCTGGGAAAATTATTCTCGGTTACAGGGGTTAATTATAATCATTTTTTGTGGATAGACATACCATCGAAATTCTAACCATTTTCGAGAAAAAAATTCCAAAAGTGGACAAATTTTCGGCAAAATTAAAAAATTTCAAATCGTTCTGAAAAAAATATTTTTGGTTACAGGGGTTAATTATAATCATTTTTGGTGAACAGACATATCCTCGAAATTCCAACCATTTTCGAGAAAAAAATTCCAAAAGTGGACAAATTTTCGGCAAAATTAAAAAATTTCAAATCGTTCTGAAAAAAATATTTTTGGTTACAGGGGTTAATTATAATCATTTTTGGTGAACAGACATATCCTCGAAATTCCAACCATTTTCGAGAAAAAAATTCCAAAAGTGGACAAATTTTCGGCAAAATTAAAAAATTTCAAATCGTTCTGAAAAAAATATTTTTGGTTACAGGGGTTAATTATAATCATTTTTGGTGGACAGACATACCCTCGAAATTCTAACCATTTTCGAGAAAAAAATTCCATAAGTGGACAAATTTTCGGCAAAATTAAAAAATTTTCAATCATTCTGAAAAAATTATTTTCCGTTGCAGAGGTCAATTATAATCATTTTTGGTGGATAGACATACCCTCGAAATTCTAACCATTTTCGAGAAAAAAATTCCATAAGTGGACAAATTTTCGGCAAAATTAAAAAATTTCAAATCGTTCTGAAAAAAATATTTTTGGCTACAGGGGTTAATTATAATCATTTTTGGTGAATAGACATACCCTCGAAATTCCAACCATTTTCGAGAAAAAAATTCCATAAGTGGACAAATTTTCGGCAAAATTAAAAAATTTCAAATCGTTCTGAAAAAAATATTTTTGGTTACAGGGGTTAATTTTAATCATTTTTGGTGGGTAGACATACCCTCGAAATTCTGCACATTTTCGAGAAAAAAAATCAATAGGGGCGAATCTTTAATAATAATTTTTTATTTTGTGCTTCTAAAATCTCTTATGTTAGGAAGTTAATTACTCGACTAATGTTACGAACGTTCGAAAGAAGAATTAGTTTAAACGCCTAGGTCTCGATAAGTTTGTATAGTAATTGGAAGACAGTGATTGGCGACTGTGCGTTGTATCCGTTCCGAATGAAATCTGTACCAACGATAGCTCGATTCTGCTTGTCCTCCTTCCAGCTTTGGGATCTGGGAGCAATGTTGCTAATTACTACATACCACCGAATGCGGCATAACCCGCAACCCATGAATTCCACCACCGTAGCCGACGCTGTACAGTCGCGAGAGTCAGTTTTCGTCCGTGGAAATTGCGGTTTCCTATGAGCGCAGAACGAACTGATAATATGCTCCTCGAGCGGTTCTGCCCGGCTCCTCTCGCATTCTCTGACGTATTAAAGTTAGAAATCCGTGTTCGAACACGTGCTAGCCTAAATTCATCTAATTCTAACACCCCCTCCTGCCTGTTGACACAATTATTAACACATTACCGACCGATAGCCTATTAATCGACTGTTTTACCGACCAACGCTTACCGGCTGAGAGCCTATCAATCAACTGTTTTACCGGCCAACGCTTACGGTCGGTAAAGCGTTAAGTACAGAGTTCGTCTGATCTGGAAATAAAAAAAAGTTTTTTTTTTTTCACACACTGACACTGTTATGGGTCTTTAAACTGAATTGTACAGTGTTCACTAGTCAGCGATTTTTTTAAGAACTATTCTAATTAAAAGAAAAAGAAAGTTTAAAAAAGAAGATTTTGAATATTTCATAACATTATAGTCACGAATGTTTCTTTCTGATACGATTTATTTTTATAGCGATACATTAAATGGAAAATGGAAGAATGAACAAAATTCGAGGCGATATAAAACACAGTGGTTAACGAAGGATGAAAAAGTAATTGCGCAGAAGTTATTAGCCAGGTACGCCACACGATGTACATAGTAATTTCGAATTCATATTAATTTTGGCAATACCTAAAACTTCACCACGCTTCGAATGATCCTTCCCCGAGGGAAGAATCAGCACAGTCCTGTCTACCAGACAATATGGAATTAATTATAATTAACTGCCATTCACGAAAGTTCCGCGAACAATTTTGTAGCCTCGCTACGGCGTTATAATGAACTTCCTATCATTTACATTCTCTTATATTCCGAGTTTCCCTCTGGCCCCGAGAAACGTCAAAAAAGTAGTTTAAATTAATTATTGTATCATTTGAACGGAAAGAAGCTTCGACCGTGATCCGATTCCATAAATATTATTTCCTCTTTAAAACGAACGACTCCGGAACGTAATTACATTGATTCTCGTTAGCGCGCTGTGTGCTTAACAGCTTCCACCTTTTATCTTTGGCAGTTTATTAAAACACGTTCGGCCGCAGCGAACGACGGAGGGTTAAATATTTATTATTCTCGGGATTTTCATCCATAAAATTCGACGCTTCCGCGAGAATGTTTGTTCCGTTTATGTATTTATACGCGTGGAAAATATCATATTTCGTACGTTCGAAAGCCAATTAAACCTGTTATTTTTTTTTACAACGCTTAATGTCGTTCGAAAAATGTTGTTTGTGCACGGTACAATGCGTTACGCAGCCGTGAAACACGCTGGACTTTTGCTAACTGGACCCCCCCTGTTCGCGTTCTAACACGATTATCCTTGACGTTTTCCGCTGTTCATTTCCGAAATTACTGCCAGCCATCTGGTTCGCGTATTTACGATGTCCCGACGCTGACGCTGGTTCGCCATGTTCTACTACATTAATCAGTTTCATACGGGGAACAACGACAAGGAAGAAACAAAAATTTTACAGCTGGTAATAGCCCCCCACGACTTTTATTATTTGCTTGATCACTTCGTTTATTAACACTTTACCGACCGGTAGCGGTTGATTAATCGGCTATCGGTCGGTAAGCGTTGGTCGGTAAAGAAGTTGATCAATACGCTATCGGTCGGTAAGCGTTGGCCGGTAAAACAGTCGATTAATACGCTATCGGTCGGTAAAGTGTTAAGTTTGTGATTCCTCTCAAGCTTAAAAGAAATCGAACCCTCTTCCATTACGATTCGTAATTCATAGACGATGATTTTACTTTGTGGAACATTATTGAAAGAATTAGTGAATTCTTGAATTATTTCTTCTATTTCTTTTATTTGAGAGATTTCTAGTATAGGCCTGGTTCCACCTTAAAAGTAGAAAATGCTGTTCCAACATTGTCCTTTTTAAATTCATTTACCGATCATTCTCGAAGCACTCCGCGAAAGGATTATGCGAATTCTCCGTATCTCGGAATTCCCAAACGTGGAGGTCGGGTTTAGCTATTCTCCGAACGACTCGCCCCCTCCGTCGATTCTTTAGAACTTCGACGTTTGTCTCGCTCCCTTTCCTTTTTCTTTCGACTATCCGCCTTCCTGTCCCTTTTTTCCTCGTTCGCCCCCTTCAAGACGTCGGGACGAACTCTCGAAATTTCCGGAGTTTCCCGTACGGGGAAGAGTCCTAATTCCGCCGAATTAAACTCGCCTTTGGAGGCCGACTTCCTTCTAATTGCAACTGCGAATCGCGCCAAAACGAATCGCCACGTCGAAATGCACCAAACATTCTATTCCAGTGCCTTTAAAAATCAATTTTTTCCCATTTTTTTCGTAATTCAGGAGCTTAAAAATCTGCTTAAAGATTTCATTCAAACTCGGAACGATTATAAAACTAAACGCAATAGTAATTCTTCTCGTGTGATATGTTTTATTTTGTTTTCCAAGCAAGTTGTACCTGATTTTAACACTTTACCGACAGGTAAACGCCGACCGATAAAACAGTTGATTAATAGGCTATCAGTCGGTAAGCGTTAGCCGGTAAAACAGTCGATTAATAGGCTATCGGTCGGTAAAGTGTTATAAAATGATAAATAATTGATTTAGGTAAATAACAACATATTTAAATATTATTTAAACTATAGCTTTCGTCTATTTATCGAACGATTCTCGTATATTGAATAAAAAAGAAGATTCGTACAAACACAACCACTGTTTCTTTTGTTTCTAGAAAGCCAATAATATATACCAGTGATGTTCTCTGACCAGAGAAAAACGCCATAGGTTGGAGTACGAACAGTTTCCGGTAGA